ATGCAAGAAGACGTCGGTTCGAATCCGACCGGATCGAAGGAATTTTTTCTGAGTGTTCGATCTTTGTATTAATAATGGATTGTATATACAAATTTAGCAAGCTGATGCCACATCACATTTCCTTCGTATTCACACACTGGCTTTTATCTATTCTTAAAGTAATGCATCCCAATTAACACCCTTGATAAGAAATTTTAAAGAAATCGAAAAGTTTGCCATCTCTGGAATAATCACGCTTTATAAGACCTCCGTGACGACGTGGTCGAGTAACTTGTACACCGGTTTCCATGGCGTCGCGATCTCTGAGGTCCCGGGCTCGATCCCCAGCCGGGTCAGTGTAGAAAACTAACGTTTCTATATTGTCCCGGATCTGGGTGTTTGTAGTACCGTCGTTGTTTCCGATATTCATAACCCAAGTGCTTTAGCTACTTACTTTGGGATCAGAGCAACTTATGTGATGTATAAAATTAAAAAAAAAATTATATATGAGATAATTGAGAAAGTAAGGCAACGATATGTTGTGGACTCGTTGAAATTGTGAGAGCGGTCCATGACTAGAAAAAGACTAGAAACCCTGGCCTACGTTTATTTATCGTGTGAGTTTGGGTGTAATTTGTGGTTGTCTATGTGACAACATTGGCACCCGCGATACAAGGTATCCTTAGTGCGGGGCTTTGAGTGTGTGCCTTATCAGTTATCAATAAATGCTTTACCGATGTGTGCAGGTTTCCTCTCGCTGTTTTCCTTCACTGAAAAGTAGTTATAGTAAATAAAATTTAATTTCGCACATTAATTCAGAGAAACTCAGATGTGCGAACCCGTGTTCGAACCTGCAACCCCTGCTTGAGAGGCGGTAAATAAAACCTTTAACTGACCGGTTATTGAACATTTTTATTTTAGATCGAGCTTGTAATGTCAAAATTAGTCGATTGTCATTTTTAAGTCATTTTTTACTAATACAGGTTTTTCGAGTGATTCGAGGTTGGTTTTGCTTTCTTGTAAGTTTTGTGAACGTTACTTGAAAAAGCGTTTTTTATTTGTCAAAGTTTAATTTAATCAATGATTGAATCAGTGTTACGTACTAACCGCCTTTTTAAAAGCATTCTCGATTTGTAATATTGATTTTACTGAAAATCATGATATCCGTTTACTTTTTATGAAATTATTCTACTAGTTTGTTATAATTATAAATACAAAGAAAAATTCCTTTCGATTTGATAGGATTCGTCAAGTAATTTCACAAAAAATAAAATTAATATAATGGTAGTAAAACATCATAGTATTCAATAAAACCTATATTACAATTCAAGAAGCGACATCTCTTATCAAACTCTGGTAGCTGTAAAAGTACCTGATTGAGTGAAGAAAAACTTTCGTAGATTTCTCACAGATGGCGCTACGGTAAAAAAGCGTTAAAACAAAAAACAGATCTGTAATAAACGCATAGAGAAATTCATAAGGTCTGACCCGATCTGTGTACTCGATTTGATGGAAATGTTCCATACATTGAAAATGTGATTGAATAGATCGACGAGCGCGGAGTCGGTGGCAGAGACCCCAATGGAAGGCTCCCACCCGGCACAGCCTGCGGAGCCCGGCACCCTCAACGCTACCTTACCGGAAACACCAGGTACACATTCCCTTTTATGAGCTTGGTGGCAGGTTAGCTACGGGCGAGGTGGAGGGGTTGAATTCCAGGGGTAACCCAGTGGGAGCACTGATCCTGGTTATTGTAAACCACTGGTTATAATAATTCCATTGAGATTATATTGCAATTATGATAATATTTGCTAAAATCTAGTTGTAATGGCAATATATATCAATAGAGTCCGAAAATCGCAGTGATGGCATTCATTCATTCAATCACAATCGATGATGACTTACTATAGTCTGTCTTTTTTAACACAACTTAAAATGACAGTTCATAACGCAGAAGTGTTGCCCGCTTGCAAGCAGCTAGTGATTGCCGTCGATAAATAGTGTATCGACTGTCGATTAAATGTTGGTCACGCTTATAAAATAAATACCCGAAAAATTATCATTCGTCCAATTACTGAGCACAGGTTCATTTGAAATGTCAATTTTTTTTAAGTTCATACACACATACACTTTATTTATAACGATGTCTTTGAAATATACAAAGAGGAGACGTATTTTAAAGCTAGAAATCTGCTTATTCTTTTTAAAATGTATATGAATAAAATATTATTTCGGTACTAATAGACTAACTGTCAAAATGATAATAGAGATGGCAATAACGCAATTAGTAGTGTCATTATAATGTTTAAAAGTTTTATCTTTCACAATCTATTTATAAAACTGTCGACAACAACTACATGATTATTTAAAATTTTATGAAAACTGGCAACCCAGCAAATGTCATTTTACTCCGTCTTCAAATAAGACAGACTATGAAAGTGCCATGGAAATTACTATGCATAATCTTGATTTTTATTACGTTTCGTCAACAGTGAAGTATTAAAATTAAATGAATTTTATATACTTTTAAACTTCGCGTTGCATTGTACTAACATTTGGAAACGAGAATAAACGCACATACGAATGGGTGTTTTTCACACCTACCCAGTATCCCGACTTTTCGGCCAGGTTGCATTGGCCGCGGTCAGGCATCCGGAGGTGAATAGACATCCAGCCTACATGCCCTATGTTAAAGGAGTGACGGACAAGATAGGTCACGTATTACGTCAATACTCCATACCGACCGGTGGATGAAGATTTCACCGCCGAGACGGAGATGTAAACATCGCATCACCAGTCAGCCCGTGACCACGGCCAGTGTAACCTTGCCGAAACGTCGGGAAATTAGGTAGGTGTGAAAAATATCCATTCGTATGTAAACGTATTTTTATGTCAAATAATTAATAGTTGCAATGGCAATTGAATAGTAAGTCGAGCCACTGCTCTTAACTTTTAGCAGAATACCAAACGTTAAAAATCCTACCCTTCACACTCATTGGGTCGTATTCCAGAACTCTACTCAGTACTCAAGTCAGGACTTGAGTATTGCAGTGAGCACTGAAAATCATACTCAAAGCCTTGCCATTAGGGTCGTATTTCCAGTGCTTGAAATCATACTCAAGTCTGCTCAAATCCTGACTTGAGCATTGAGTAGAGTTCTGGAATACGACCCATTAACACACAACTGAGATGATTTAAAATAGCAGACTTGGTGGTTCTAGATTGACTTAATATCCATGTCCTGTGATTTTTTTTTAAGTTTACTTACATTTGTGTATGTTTAGTAGATATACCTCTAGTTAACGCAGAAAAAAAATACATCAGTGCGGCGTACAGATCTGTCGAATACGCCGCGCTTATATGAGCTGTATGCAGCTCGCCAGCCATTTGCCTGATCTGTACGCACCCTCATGATGAAACTAGTACATCGAAGAACATACACAATCCTTGGAAAGTCTATTGTAGTTTTTTATTTTGTTCTGTGCAGGCTACAAAAGCATGCACTTGTTACGCGAGCCTCAATGTGGTATTGTTTTTTTCTTATTTTACTTATCGACGGCCTCGTAGAATAAACGTGTATTATCAGAACACAGGAAAAATAAAAAGAGTGACAATTTCAATAACTCGACACCTGATGGATTTATTAATGACGAAAACGATGGAAACAAATTAACCTATGGTTATATGTCGTAAATTCGATTTTTTTTTTAGATATTGCACTCTTAATACAATAGTGTATTAACTCAAAAAGCAGACTTTCTCAGAATCGATGAAAAACAAATTTATCACTTCCCGCAAAAAATCAATAAAACATATGTCTATTATAGTTTATTACTCAATACACCTAAACAATTTCTCAAATATGTTTAAAAATGAAATGGAAAAAATAATTTAACATTTTTGAATAAGGACCAGAACCAGCTCACATAAGGTGTGTCTCATTTTGAGTTAAGTGGATCGCTTTTGATTATTTCTTACAATATTCTAACGAAGGTTTTTTTGACGTGTAGAGAATCAAATTTTACGTTTAGTCATGATATAATATTAAATTTCATATATTTAGAGTTACAACACTATTGTAATAGCAGTGCGATATGTATTATTTTGTTCGTGCATAATTTATCTTATCTGCCCTAGAAAAAAAAACATTTGAGTTACGTTACAATTGATTGATTATGTACAACGATTTTTGTTCAGAGTTATCAACATCAGTTTCTAATTGGATGCTATCATAAAAACATTAAAAAAAATTATTTTTCTGCAAAACCTTTGTTTTTGTAGTCAGAAAGACGAAAATTTGGAACTCGTCATTAACAGAAAGTTAAAACAAAGGGTGTCATAAACGAAGCTGCAAAACGTAACCGCAAGTTTAGTTTACTTTTTTCTCTCAATTAAATAGAAACCACTGACAACCCTGAAACAGAACCTTTTTGAAAATTTGTTACAATTTTTTACGTGTAAAAAATTTAGGGATTTTATAAAAGAGAATAGAACATTACAGCCTGATAAAAAAAATGTGAAAACTTACCACGTTTATTCACGGGTGACGTCGTTATTGCTTTGTTTTTTGTCGTATTGAATACGTATTTAGTATTGTTATTAATTTGCTACTTTTCTAAGCTGCATGAAATGTACTAACTTAACATTTCTTTCGCTTGACTCTTTATTTTGATTTTTGAGGTAGGTTTTGACGAGTTAATTAGCTAGTTATCTATAGTCGGATTTTTATAGAGATAAGAAAGTGTTATTTAGCAGGTTCCTAGTTTATGATTGAATAAAAATTGTATTAATTAAATTTTTATTGAATTGATATTCAATTAATTTTGTGAAATTACTCCACTAGTTTGTTATAATTATTAATACAAAGATCGAACACTCAGAAAAAGCACTCAGAAAAAATTCCTTCGATCCGGTCTTCGCCAGGACTGGTAGCTGTAAAGGTACTAACTGGGTGATAAATCTGTCAAAGATTTCTCATAGATGGCGCTACGACTAAAAAGTCGTTGAAAGACCAAGTACAAAGACACGACGCAAGCACATAGAAAAATTCGTGAGGTCCGTTGGTTCGTTCCGTGGCTTAGTTGGTGTAGCGTCTGGCACGGTATGCAAGAAGACGTCGGTTCGAATCCGACCGGATCGAAGGATTTTTTCTGAGTGTTCGATCTTTGTAAAAAAATTGTATTAATAATTATAACAAATAATAGTATTCTTAAATGAGCAACTTCATCGACTCGCTCTACTTCATCGGTCATCAAGGTAAATTGTGTCTTTTTAATGATATGTAGGTTTTTTTTAAACTAGAAGTATGTAAAGACTAAATGTAAAAATGCTTAGTAGATTAACAGTCAGAAATCTTGAACGTATCTTTTTGAGTGATTCAATTTCAATAGGTTCAAGAACAGTGCATCACTATGCCCTAAACATGGCATCATTATTTTTCGTGGTGCGGTTATACATCGCTTTATATTCGTGTGTGTAGCGTTTGCCATTCAAAGATTGATGCTTGTCAGTGTTGTCGCAGAAAAAAACGCGTAGGTTGACTATCCAATGCTTATATCATTCCTGTATTTTAAATTCATCGTAAATACCATAGAGAAAAATTAATTTATGAATCCGGTTTATAAAATTTCAACCCACTTTCCGTTAACCAATATAAATGAAACTTCACAAATAGACGTAATTTCACAAATGTTTTGTGGTCGGTTTTTTTATATATAATTCCGATCCAATCAAGTCCGACCAAGTTTCATTTACGTAACGCCTGACTGGTTTGTCCGACGAGGCAAGCTGCCGTAGCCGACATCCCTCGCCATAATAAACCACCGTCTCTTTCACTCCTATGAAAAATGACATGTTCCGCATCCTTTCATATATGCGACTTTATATGGCCAACTCGTTCGAAGTCGAGTTATGAGACAGGGTAATTAGCCATCTACAAGTGCAAGCGAGAAAGGTAGATTGTTGAAGAGTAGATGCTTTTTTAAATAAGAGATTAATAACGCAAGTGTGACGATCTGTAACTAGAATAGAATTGGCTATTTAGTAGCAATAGAGGTCCTTGTGAAAGAGTTCGTCCAGGGAAATACTGCCACTTTACCTTTACAAGCAGTAATGTGAGCTTTACTGCGTTCCGGTTTTGAAGGATAAGGATGTTGGTGAAATTGCAGGCGCATAGGACTTGTCAACTTAAGTCTCAGGGTGACAGACGCAGTGGCAGTGCTCCTTAGATCTTTGCGATTTAAAGCTCTGAGTGGCACTGCAACTGTTTTGGCCACGCGTGTAGGCTACTATCAGGCACACGATCTGATTGTGCCGTCACTTGATATTATGAAAAAAAATGTTTTTGTTTGAAAACCAAATATTTTGGCGGGTGGATTGATGATGTGCGCTAGTGTTTTTTGTTTTTGGTATTAAATTGACAACTGATTTTCTGTGACATTTCGTGATTTTTTGTTTGTCGAAGTTTTACTACCTAGGTATGACCTTAAAAATACTGAAAGCAGTAAGTATTTACCAGCTAAAGATATTTTTTGCGTGTAGCCATCGCAGCAATGACGGAACGCGAGTCGGCACATCCTCCCACGCAACCAACGATCACTAGCAGCGACCAACTGCTGCCACAGAGGGATGGAGGGGACGGGGCGGACCGCGCTGAGGACAGCGCTGATGATAAGCAGGACACACGCGCTGTAGTACGCGTGAGTTGCTTGTATACCACTTCAATGGAAGATAAATTGTCCAGAGAACCTTTCAACCAATATTTCGCGTTTCCCTTTACACTCCCCGCATACCGCACAAGAGTTTTGGTCGGGACCGTTATTCGCGGACCAATGAGAATCCGGCTAATTACTCCAGCCTCTATCTTACTTGGTGAAATACGATCTATTTATGTTTATATAGTCAGTTGGGGAACATACTTCATTGTGTCTAGAAAGAACACGGGTCTGAGGGGTCCTGCCACTGCGCCCGTCCCCGTGAGTCGTTTTTGTAGCAGTAGAGCTCCTTGTGAAAGAGTTCGTCTAGGGAAGTACTGCCACCTTACCTATTTCTGCTGCCAAGCAATAATGTGAGCATTACTGCGTTCCGGTTTTGAAGGGTAAGGGTGCTGGTGAAATTACAGGCACATGGGACTTGTCAAGTTGTGTCTCAGATTGACAGGCGCAGTGGTAGTGCCCCTCAAATTTTTGCGATTAAAAGCACTGCAACTGTTACGGACAGGCGTGCGGCTTGGTATCATAAAAAAAATGAACGGCACTATCGCAATAAAAAGTCTAGTCTTCTTGAGTACAGTCAATTAGGGATGCACATTACATGAAGATTTTTATGAAGATCGATTCATTTCGATTTTTAAACGATTCGTTTCAAAATTAAGGCGAATCAAATCGTCTAGATCGTATTCATAATTTAAACAAAAGTCCCATGATTTCGTCAAGTACAGAAACAGAAAATAAAGAGGAGGACAATGGATTAAGTTACACATTTCGAGTTCTTAGGTTTTCGCGATTGTTACACATAGGAAATGAAACTATTTTTCCGGATTTAAATCGCGTATATTTGTTTTTTCAAACAAACCAACGTTTCAGGCCCTTTATAGGTCCCATGTCAACATGACATGACATGTCAGTTAACCTTGATCATGGAAAAATAGTTTCATTTTTTATACAACATTATTATTGAACAGTTTTGTTGTCATCTGTGTACAAATTTTGAAACGATTTTTGTGAAATCGATTCAAGAGCATACGATCCGATTCGTGGATCGATTCAGAGACATGTGATCCAAAAAATCGATTCAACGCAAAAAATCGTGCATTCCTACTCCCAATTATGTTGCAAGATACTTGCGTACATTTTTTATTTCTTATAGTGAGTATTGTATTTAGAGAGACAGTATGCGGCTCACCAGCAGTGGCAATGAGCGACGACCGAGCGAAGGGTCAGGTGGAAGGGAAGGGGGAACTGCGCCAGGAGGGTGGAAGGCCAGTGCCGAGTGGGTGTCGAGCTGGCGGGCCAAGCTGCCACTGCAGACCATCATGCGACTACTGCAGGTCCTCGTGCCGCAGGTAGAGAAGATCTGCATCGACAAGTGAGTACATTGTTTATTCTATAACGTGATGCAACAGGCGAATGATAATGTCTCGAGTGTTACAAGCAGTGCTAGCCTAAGGGCTTGTGCAGCGTGCCGGCGATGTTTCTCGACTGCGGTCGCACCGACTCGCTGCGACTTGTTTTAACATGTAGAACTAAATATGCAGCGTGCCCGCGACCGGCGACCATTGGCCGTCAGACTTGCAGCGATTAGTCGGTCTTAAGTCGCTTGTGAAAATGATCAATTAACGTTCCTATTAGGAAATGAAACTATTTTTCCTATATTTGTTTTTTCAGACAAACCAACGTCTCAGGCCCTTTACACCTCTCATTACCACGGCTGACAGTGGGAATTAGATTTAAATTCGAAGAATATGTTTTATTTCCAATGTATAGCATTAGCGAAATAGTACATTAAGAATACAAGACATTTATTCGCTGAAAAATGTAGTTAACAATGCAGGTCTTATAATATATTATATTAAATCGTACATTTCACCAAAACTTGGCATACGAATATTTTACACAATGCTTATTTCACTTTAGACATAGAATTCATTAAAGTTAATTTAAAACAGAGGCTCCCAGACTTTTTTTCTCATAGACCACTTTCAAAATTTAGCTGGTTCCGCTGGACCCCCTGCAGCTACATTTCTACCATATTCACAAAACTCGACACAAAATGTGAAGAGTAGATCTAACTATGGAAATTTTCAACGCAAATTGCTGAGTTCCAACCACAAAATATTAAAATAGTTTTCGTTTATAAATAGTTTTAGTTTTTATCTAAATAGTTTTCGATAGAAAAAGTGAGAATTTAATTGATTGTGCTGTGAGTGGATGTCAAATAAGTAAAGACACGTTGTACTGAATATGGAATATGCAAGTTGCAAACCAACATTTTAGTCCTTCACTATCGAAAGCAGATATATTTTCGTGAACTCCTTACTTACGAGATGTGAACCCCCATTTTTTTGTCACGCCAACGTAGACTCCCGTCGAGTCTCCCGTGGACCCCTGGGGATCCACCGGGACCACTTCGGGAACTAAGGATTTCAAACAATAGCTACAAACTACAACAATTGGAATTTAATCAAGAAATAAGAAGTCAAAAATATAGCATACAATAGTTAAATTTTAATTTTTATGTTATCAAGTAAAACGTCGTTAATATTGTAATAGCATTGAGCAACTAACAAATTATGCAATTTCATTTTAAATTGTCTACAGTTTAAGTCTTTAACAGCATTCGGCAATTTATTAAATAATTTGGGTGCTAATACGAACATCGCTCTACTTGTAAAATTAAAAATTACTGCACAGGCCGGGAAGTAAGAGCGTGCTGGACGAGTATGAATTCCAAGGCTCTAGCGAGGCCTTGTATTAGAAAGAAAACGTTTATCACACAAGCACAGACACGCATATAAACAAAATAACAGAGGAACAACAATAATAATAAAAAAATTAGAACAATTGACATAATTATGCAGTACATAATTCACCGTTTTTTAAACCGTTTCGTGGCGCTTATTTTCAGCAACAACGATAAAGAAATCAACAATAAGTAAATAAACAGGTAAAAAACCGACATAATAGGAAATGTATATACAAGTACAAACACGTGATGTACTTATAATGTGTAAATAACAGTATACCACACGCAAAATAGGCGCCTTGACGTCGAGTTGCGGACACCAGCCCGTTACACCAAGTACCAAGTAACAGTATACCAATAAAACAAATTTTAATTCTAATATTTTTATGCATATCATATTGTGAAATGAATAATATCAAAAGTCGCACAGCCACTGAATTTATTGCAAACCAAATTTCCCGGTCGCATAATTTCACCAAATTCAGCCGTTAAATGGCCAGCTCGATCATGTGATTTAACTAACACCGCTGGATTATTTTTTATGGGGTTATGTTAAAGACAGAGTCTATGGGGAGCCAATCGAACCGATTGCAGCCTTATAACTCAAAATTCGTTACGTGATCAACGAAATAGACCCACCATTTTGTCAAAAAGTGATTAAAAACTTTGATGAAAGAATCGACATCTGTAACTGTGGTCGTGGTGGACATTTATCAGATATCATTTTTCATTCATAATTGCCAAACCTTACGTCTCTTAATACAATAAAAATTTGAATCATTGCCATTTAAATTTATTGTTTTATTTTGATTTACAAAACAAAGTTCTCGTTGAAAAACCGTTTACAAAATTTTATTTCCTTGTGATTTTTTGTGTTGTTTTTATCTAGCCTAAGTGGGCGGCGAACAAAAAAGTTTGGAAACCTATGAACTACATCATCGATATGATACCATATATCAATTTTTTCAGGGGTCTAACAGACGAGTCGGAGATACTCCGCTTCCTCCAGCACGGCACGTTGGTTGGTCTGCTCCCCGTGCCGCACCCCATCCTCATCCGCAAGTACCAGGCCAACGCCGGCACGGCTGCGTGGTTCCGCACATACATGTGGGGCGTCATTTATATACGGTTTGTCTTTGTTATTTTCTTTTTGTAGTTGTGTGTCCCGAGTTTATAGCATTTTCGGAGTGCCAGCTGCGATAGGGCCGTTTTTTTTATGACACCAAGTCACAAGTCGAACTAGTCGTGCGGCATTGCGGTAAGCGACATGCTTGTCCATAACAGTTGCAGTAACACTCAGATGTTTAAATTCCAAAGACCTGAGAGATACTACCACTGCGACTGTCGTCTTGAGACATAAGTTGAGAAGTCTCATGTGCCTGTAATTTCACCAGCACCCTTACCCTTCAACACCGGAACGCAGAAATAGGTAAGGTGGCATTACTTCCCTGGACGAACACTTTCACAAGGAATTTTCCTGTTCTTTCTCTTATTTTGCATTTAAATATGTAATAATGGGATAATGGTTGCTTATCAATAGAGACTATTCGAATCCCTACGCCTTTTGTAACTAAGTTACGGACGTTTGTGAGTATTTAGTAGCAATAATTCTCGCTAACGGTGAAAAAAACATCGTGAAGAAACCAGCAAGTCGAAGACGATTCGCGGTCCTTGGAAGACGTGTGAAGTGTCCAGCCCACACTGGACCAGCGTGACAGACGTATGGCTTGCATTGGATCGATTGATCGAAGGAATTTTTCCTAAGTGTTCGATCTTTGTATTAATAATTATAAACTAGTAGAGAAATTACACAACAAAAATTGAATATCAATTCAAAACAAAATAATTAACAACGTCATCTATAGCCAGAGCTGGTAGCTTTAAAGTTACCTAACTGGGTGACGAAATACTTTCATAGATTTCTCATAGATGGCGCTACGGCTAAAAAGTCGTTAGTCAAAGAATCATTTATTCCATGGGTAAAATAAATTTACACTTGAAAACGTCATATTTAAGCTACTGTTCGTTCACTACGCTGACTTCTCTAAGGAGAACTAGCAAGAAACTCTAGGGATTGCTCTTTTCAAATAAACTTAAACGCTATGGAATACACTTTGAATCAAATTTGTGTGGATTCTGGAGCCATGTCGTCTTTCCATACATCTTTATGTAACAATTTGTAATATAAGTTTTCAATCAGAATATTTTTAATGTAGTTTTTAAACTTGGGAAATGATAATCTTAATATACGCTCCGGAATCTTATTGTAAAAACGTATACAGTTCCCCTTAAAAGAGACGCTTGCCTTAATTGATATTGAAAATCAAATACAAAGATCCGACAAACAAGCACATAGAAAAATTCGTAAGGCCGCTAGTTTGTTCCGTGGCTTAGTTAACATAGCGTCTGCCACGGTTTGCTAGAAGACGTTGGTTCGACCGAAGCCAGAACGAAGGAATGTTTTGTTAGCGCTTGATCTTTGTATTAACAATTTAAAAAATGTTTGTTTATTAACAGCAACGTGGACCCACCGATCTGGTACGACACAAATGTGAAGCTGTTCGAGATCCAACGCGTATGAACTGACGACCTTCGATGCACCGACGACCTCAGCAAGCGATGACCTCGTGACATGACACTTAGTTAGTTAAACTACATCTGAGTTGAATTATTTCTTAGATATTTTTTTATACGTGAACGTTCTTGCCTTTTAAGGATTTTGATATGGACGCGATACAAAATTGGGTTACGCTACAGATGTAGTGAATAAACATCGGGGCAACTCGAAAACCCCGAATGCTGTTGCTAAGGCTATAAAATATCATATTAATTATTCACATAGCAAAACCCAGTTATTCCTACTGATTCAATTAAACAAATCGATCCATTCAATTAATTAATCGATTTGTAGTTGGCAGTACAAGTTGGTTGTCACTAAACTGTCTATGGTCGGGTATAACTGCTTCCGTGGCCGAACGATTACCATGCATAGGGCGTATATTTACTTCTCTCGTGAGTTTGGGTGTAATTTGTGGTTGTCCATGGCATTCGCGATACAGGGTTTCCCTAGTGCGGGGCTATGACTGTGTGCTTACCTTAATAAAGGTTATTTCGTTATAGCACAAGACTACAGTGATGAACATCTTATTTTTTTCAAATTGTGTACAACCTCTAGGTACAACTTAAATAATAATGTAACAACCCTACACTCCTAGCGAATTGTAGGCATTTTTTAAAAGTTTATATTAATTACAAGCTTTGCTCAAAAAAGCCCTTTGTGTGCTATGATATTTATGGCAATTAAATACGAAACTTTATTATTTAACTTAACTTATAGACGCAGCAACAGCGTTCGGGGAAATTCGTGGTTTCCGAATTTTCCCGACGTTTAATGTTTATTCGCCACATTTGTTGCGGAATAAATCTACTTCAGCGTAATCCTGCAATAGTGATGCAGTTGGTGTCGTGTTTTCCGGATGCATTTCAACTGCTATTTTGCAGTCGCAGTGCAGTCTGAATGCGGCTCGTGTGACTAAACACTTACAAGTATACTGTGTTGGACAAAATATGTTTATTTAAAAAATAATAATATTCGATGTACGACGTGTTTATCTACAAAAGTTATTCACAGAAGCAATCCGCTTCGTGCGACTGGGTGGCAAATCCGCTGTAGTCTCGTGGTCCCACTAATTCGTCCCAATAGTGGGACCACCCAGACTACTCCGTGTATAACATTAAATTTAAACACGACGGCTAACAACCTTATTGTGCTTAAAATAAAAAATATAATTGTACGGCATATCGACGCCTCCTACGTAAAGTATCGTATGTCGAAATTGCCAAGTTTACAGGGGAGTGTTTTAAAGTTCTCCGTTTCATTTGGCAAAGCTTGTTACTCACATAGAGTGATCATCTAATAGATCATCTAACCGATATCTAGGATTTTATGATACTCAACGTGTGTTACGAGATTTGCCGAATAAAAGTGAGAAATCTAAAGTCACGTGTTATGCTTATTTTAGTGAATTCAGAACTTTAAAAGGCTCCCCTGTAAACTTGGCAATTTTGACATACGATACTTTACGTGGGAGGGGTCGATATTCACTTTTAATAAAGCTAGTATTTTCAATGATGGTCTATGAATACTCCACTAAAAGTGCAATCAATGCATTCTACTGGAGCTTGAAACTTGCATAGTGAAATACAGGAACTTCATCCATGCGGCGGCAAAAGCTTCCTTCTCCAAACCACCCTAATAAAGGGTATGTCAAATGCATCCTTGACGATGTACTTAGTTATTGTATCCTCTTAAGGATTCCCCGTATAAATACATCTCATCATTTTATTTGATCTCAGTACAAAGTACTAAAAAAACCGACCTCAAAAGTTCCTGGAATTACATCTATTTGCCAAGTTTTATTGAAACCGGTTGTTCACTTGGATAGTTTGCCACCCTTAGAGTTGGAAAATTTTCTCCAAGTTCAAATGGGACCAAAGATCCAACAAAAAAGAATCATCAAAATCGGTTCACAAGTCGCGAGTTATCGCGTTATCGCGTAACATAAATTTTTTTTAAATCTGTCGTATTGGGAACCTCCTCCTTTTTTTAAGTCGGTTAAACACGTGCATCTTAGTAACTTGTCATTCATTTTATCCAGCACAGTATAAAGTAAAACAAAATAAACTGATTCTATTTTAAACCTTAGTTCACTGCAAACAAAATTTTCTCGTTTGAACCCCTTTGTGGTCGAAAAATATCCTCTTTTACATATAAATATCCATAATATCTAGTCGACCAAAATGCATGGCATGGATTCTTTTTTTCGCTGTTTTAATGAGGCATAATTGTACATACATAAAACGCCTATCTCCCATCAGGGTAAACAGAGACTGTGCTACATATAATCCTCCTGACATACTTCCCTCGCTCCCTCCATGCGCATAAATCTCTCTCATACGTGCCTGTTTGTTTTTTGATACTTTAACACTTGGCATTTTTAAACGACATTCCAAATCTAATCAAGGTATAGTCCGTCGAGATCTACCTGTCCCCACATTCCATAACTGTAGCACAGTTTTACTAACCATACATCGACCCCTCCTACGCAAAGTATCGTATGTCGAAATTGCCTAGTTTACACAGGAGTTCTCCGTTTTATTCGGCAATACTCGTAACTCACATAGAGTGATCACCTAATAGATCATCTAACCGATATCTAGGATTTTATAATACTCAATGTGAGTAACGTGCTTTGCCGAATAAAACTGAGAAATGCTAAAGTCACATGTTATACTTATTTCAGAGAATTCAGAACTTTAAAAGGCTCCCCTGTAAACTTGGCAGTATCGTCATACGACACTTTACGTAGGAGGGTTCGACATTTGCGCAACGAAGGTATTCGGGGAGAAGCGGGTGCCGCGGACCGCATCTCGCAAATGGTTCGTTCCCACTAATTCTATTGAGTACTTCTATTATAGAAGTACTAGGACAAAAATCCCTGTGGTTCTATTAAATTCTATTTCAAGAATAATAGAACTATCGTATATATGTTACGTGATAACCGCGTAACATATATACAAAAAAAAAGTTGAATCTCCTCATTTTTTTAAAGACGGTCAAATATAATGTACTGAAACGATTATTTCCAACTCGTTCTATCATTCTTGAAATATAATTTAATAGAAGCTGGTAGTTGTATAGTAGAACTACTCAATAGAACTAGTGGGAACGAACCCCCCGTAAACACACAATTTAGTTTGTGGGATCGAGCTCTAAGGGTTGACGTGACCTTAATATTAAATATTTTTTAATAAGTTCAGCGATATAGATATTCTCCAGGTTCGCTATCAACACGAACAAACCAGAGCTACATTCCCTTTTCTCTTCATTAAACTGTTGTGTGTTGTGGCGTCCACACCACAACTTTCAAATATGTGAAGTTCCTTGTTAACTGGTGTTGAAGTAGTTTCAGTTGATTCTGTTAGAGCGGCTTGTGATCTTACAAAATACACTGTGTAGTTTTTATTCATTTTTTTGTTATTGTTACGTTGTCCTGTTTAATGTTTATTAGTTTTCAATTACCTTCCATATCTACCAGGTGAGACGTTTTTCGATAACGTCAACTTACCAAAGCGAGCATTTAATTTGTAATTACAATTAATGATTTGAATTTAAATATAATTATTTATTTACTAGGTACATAATAATAATTACAGAAAATAAAACAATCATTTTAACACACACACGCTTCACATAATGGCCTTCTCAACAGAGTACCTTGAATTAGAACGCAGCTAGCTATTTAATACACAACTTATGAATTCTAGTATATATGTAGTGTATGCGATCACTCGCATTGAACATTTAAGGTGATAAAAAAAGGACAGACATAAAAGAAAGTGCAAGAAGGATGTCGATTCGTCGTTAACTCGTATACTTGTTTTAGGGCGAGTGAACACGAAGTACAAATTATAGCCTGATTATTAAAAAACTATAACAGGCCACATTAAAAAATTCTAACATGAATAAAAATATAATAATCTACACATGTGACCGGACATACATTTCATTTAGAACTCTACTTGGAAATGTTCGATAAACCAAATTTTATAGTCGTTTATACGAGTACTAGCCTTGGCAAGTAACGAACAATTACTTATAAAACTGTTTTTCATATAATTCAGTTATATCTATTTAGTGAGATTTTACTGTAGAAGTATGCTAGAATGTACATTATTAAATTATTTATGTTTTTTATTATAGTATAATATCTTTAATCAACATGTATGTACCATTTTATGTTTATCAAGGCTTAATATCTCATTTTCTCATAGGAAAATGATACAGCTACCAGTGGCCAAGAGTGTTCTTAAAATAGAAACCGGCTCCAAACTTGATCAGAGAAGATTTTGTGTGTTGTTACTTCTACACAATTCGAATAACTTCTTTAAGTTGATTATACCACAACCTGATATTATAGAACCTGTTAATAAACAAAATTGAAAAAAAAATTTCATGACCTACGAGATGCCACTTTGACAGTTATTTGTTTACATTTTTGGTCTCGGTTTCTATAATAATGTATTGACTCGACCACTAATGACTTCTAAAATAACTAACATAAACACCGAAAATCACTTTGCTGCAGGTTTTTTTTTATCAAGTGACGGGACGAACAGTCGTACGCCTGATGGAGCCTGTCTGTAACAGTTGCAGTGCCACTCAGAGCTTTAAATTACAAAGATATGAGGGGCACTACCACTGAGCCCGTCACCCTGGACGAACTCTTTCACAATGAGCTCTACTGCTACTAAATTTAAGGTTTAAATGGAACCCAAAAAAAACACTAGCACCAATGAACCATAGCGGTAGTGACTCTGAATTACGGGGCGTTGATGCTGTCCAGTGGGTGCTACCGCATTTGAAGAAAAACCTGAATTATCTATATAAACTACACTACATATATTTATTTTTTTAATCATAATTCATTTATTTGTGAAAACACAGTTTGTGTTAAGTTAATATAAAAAGTACATGTATTCAATCATTTTTTGTAGTGGTGGACGTGGAAATTTTTTTATCTTACCTAAGTGGGCGGTGAACGCAAAAGTTTGGGAGCCTATGATTTAGATTAATATTATTATTCATTATGCTTACGTTTCTTAAATCAAGTTGGGAATGGTGTTATATGGAGTCTTCGCCACTGTTAGATACAAACGATTTCTTTTTCTGAGCCTAAAGTTGATATAACGTTACTTGAAAATGGCTGTTATTACTTTTAACAATTCTCTTTCGACACCTAGTCATATCATATACACTCAATTATAGAAATATTTAATTCTCGTTGCCCTATTGAATATGTGTATATTGCTTGCTTATCCTCGAATTTTAATTAACCCGAATATTAAAAAGAAACATCTAAATAAAAAACTTGAAACCAAAGATTGGGTCCCACACACCAACATGCATGACGATACAAAAAAAACATACGTTTTGTATGGACGGAATTGTGAAGCGTGTTGACCTGTGGGGCCCAGCAATGGATGCGCGTTACTTGCGGTTACCGCACGGACGAGTAGTGACACCCAAAACGTACCTAGCGTGACAAAACAGCGCGACGTGAAGCTACAAACGTACTATCGAAAGCAGATATTGACGACTGGGCCATTAGTGTAAGTTTTCCAATATCGTCGTCTTAGAGTGGTTAGCCACGGGCGTCGGGTTTTCAGCAGCGAGCAAACGCGCGTTTGCATCAATGCAATCGTTTGTATATTGTATCGATAGTATGTTTGTAACTTCACAGTACTTATTGTTTAACACTTTCAGCGCCATAGAACACATGCTCACTCACACTACTGAGTAAAATTCGAAAATACATGTTGGCCTGCTGCACTTGCGGTTTTGTGGGCGGCCGGCAGCTCACGTGGCGCTGAGTGTTCAGTACACTCTGCGGCGCATGTCGACCGCAGTGGGATTTGCTTTAAAATCAGCTGTAAAACCACGTTTCAATCGGTACACGCCGTGTATTCATTTCGGAGAGCCGAAAAATGAGTTATTAATTTAATATATTTGGTATTGGCCGGATTTTGGATACGCTACATTCCGTTATTATGAATTTCTTTTAGCCTTATTTGTGACAGCTAAAAAGTTACTAAACTAAACCTAATATAGATTTTTTGTTATGTAAGTTTTAGTGCAATTATTTGAGTAATTACGTGTAATTTAGAGTAAATAAAAATATTTATTTTACATTTATCATTGATGTACTTGAAAGTTATATAAATGGAAATATATGAAATGAGCTTGAATTTTGTTTCTTTTTTTTGTCACCATTTTGGTCTCGTGTCTATAATTCTATGGGGTTCCTGTTTTTGTCCGTGGTAAGTTGAATGGGTTATGATCAGTGATCGGAATTGAGTGAGTTACATAACCTAATTATTTTTTTTACACGCCTGTCCATAACAGGTGCAGTGCCACTCGTTTAAATCGCAAAGATCTGAGGGGCATTGCCACTGCGCTCGTCACCCTGAGACATAAGTTGACAAGTCCCATGTGCTTGTAGTTTCACCAGCACCCTTACCCTTCAAACCCGGAACACAGTAATGCTGACATTACTGCTTGGCGGCACAAATAGGTAAGGTGGCAGTGCTTCCCTAGACGAACAAGAATCTCTACTGCTACTAAAACCTGGGGCCGTTTTTCTTGTCATTGCAGCCACGGTCGTTAATAAAGATAAAAAGCCCGAGGTTTTATTTGGGGCATTATAGTCAAACTAGCCTGCATGCAGTCATACTTACGTGCAAGCGTGATGAAAAATGGTCGGCGTAGCGATTTGCTCGAGGACGCACCGTTAATACCGGACTTGTTCTACCTACCTAGTTGCCTTGAAAATAATTATTTAGTTAGAGTAACTACAAACATTTTTTCAAATAAAAAAAAAATTATAATACACACCGCACCCTTACCAGAGAACAAAAAAGTAACGAGAATGGACACTCTCCGCCCCTCCCTAGATTTAGATACCGCACCACGCCCCGCACATTGACTGAACGGCAACAAGGCTGTCGGTGAGCCATTTTCGCGCTAAGACGGCTTTGATATTTGAATATTTTTCACTTATTCATTACGAAACTTGAACGTTAATATATAACATCATTGTACGTTACTATTTACGATGGTCGTGAATTGGGCTGTGTACGACTGTTTCTCATCATCTAAACGGGACAAAGAGAGGAGTTTCTTTCGATTTCCGAAAGGTGAAAGGAGGTAAGTAAAAAAGCTTGTCTGAGACTCATTCAGTTATTCTTTTCTTCATTTATTTAGTGCAGAGTACCAGAACTTACTAGACGCCATAACTGGAGCAGTAGACAAAGGTTCTCAAATTTTCAGTTTGTATTGCTGATAAATATTACGTAGGTAGTGAATATACCTAATTATTAACTAAGTAATGATAAACTTGGATACGCAATTTCAATACATTGGTTAACTCATTTAAAAGTACCTGCCCAATTTCTAATAATTAAGTGTTTTTAATATATTTTTAAAGTTAGTAAATTAATGAAAAATATAATAATATATCGATATAAATACCTAATGAACATGTGTAGTTATTAGGATTCTATTAATAGAATTAAAGATAACCAGATTTGCTTAAGTATTGTCGCTATGTTGCCGCTCTGACCACAAAGTAATGGGTAACACTGCCACTTCATGCACACATTTGCGCGTGTGTAGATAGCGGCTTGCTGTATGTAGTAGTAGTAGTAGGCAAATATAACTTTCGACTGTTGTATGGAGTGTGCGGGGTGTGCTCTTACGTAATTTGAAAACTATTTCTAGGGAAAACGACCAAATATATTTAAAAAGTACATAATTTGATTTCATACAAGGCTTATGTCTTTATTTTGTCAATATCTCAAAAATTAAGTATATTTTGTAATTATATCTTGTATAGTTGCTTGCCATTTACTGAACGCTTTGAATTCTTTTATTTTACTTAAATTAATTTAGAAGTATCCTATAATTATATAAGCATAGTAAGTACGTAATACGAAAATTTCAATTGGGTACCTTTTTTTTCAAAATTCTACACAGAATAAGTTTTTATTTGTATTCATTGTTGTTATATTTAACTTGTAAGTTTTTTTGAGTTAAACTCATGTGCCCATCTTGCTTTATTATAATTTTACTTTTTGAAATCTTACTTTTTGAATTATACCACTTTATTATTGAGGGAGTAATGCATACGTTGAGATTTATCTCGTAAATGAAATTGCGTTTGTATGGGGCGAGTGTAATGAGACAAAAATCACAGTTACAATAATATATTTGAACCAAGCGTCTGTTACAAAAGACGAATCGATCAGTCCCTTCTATATAAGGTACTTAAAAAAATAATTCATATCTGAAACCAACCAAAAAGTCGAAATGTCATCGATCATTAAATTCGTACATTTTGCTCTTTTTGCTATAACAAAATCATGTTGACGTATTTCCTAGCATCTTGACTTTTTTGCAAATCTCAGATGACAATATAAAAAACCTGCCAACAAAGTACAATAAACTGAAATCACATTTACTTATGAATAAATCTTAACCTACATAGATATTCAAAGCAGACAATTTACTGTAAAATTATTATCAGAGTTACCATTGCAGTACTTTTTTTCAAGACTAAAATGACGTTTGTAAATGACAACTCTGCCATTTTTCGTATAATTTAAGTAGTCATGTGGTTGGACAGTTTAATCGACAGGTTGTGCAAGGACAAAATTATGCAAAAACACTTGAGTTTATTATGCTCTTCACCCTTCAACCTTCTAATTGTTCATAATTTATTTAGAGAGGAATTTAGAGCATTATCTTTTTTAATTTCTTAGTTTGTCTACTCGTGAAGTACAGAGGACACAATCTTCTTCCAAGATGACGTCTATTTTTTTTTCTATTAGGCAATTAAAAACTATAATTTATTGCGTAAGCGTATCCAATATTCAGTCGACAAAATGTTTATCGACTGGAAGCACTAGGTGCTTGTAAGTTGGCAACATTTGTCCATTGAACTGTCATTTTATTCTCTTGGAAAAAAAGTACAATTTAATATTTGCCACGTGTCATTATTAACTAGACACTACACACAGAAATAGATTCATTTTGCATACATATGTATTTGCTTTGTGTGTCGCCAGTGTGTTAACTGGGCACTTGACAACATTCATCAAAACTTCTCTCTCTCTTGCGATGGACCCACAATTGAATACCATCGATTTATTTAAAAATAAAATTAACTTCTATCAACTAATGTGACTAGGTAATGAGATCATTTTTAAAGAAACAATATAGGCCTATTACTGCAATAAATCTTTTATCTCTTTCACATTCGTACAATAGGCCAGTCAACACTATGCGAAATATATACAGATGTAGTTAGTAAACATCGGGAAAAAATCGGAAACCGCGAATATCTCCCATCGCCATTGCTACGCTAGTTAATTATCGTACTTAACATATAGAAGTTTTGTTATGTCATTTAAATACGAAATTGTGTTAGTCAATGACTTTAACATTATATCAATGTCAGTTCAATGTTTATTTACTACATTGTCGACAAGGTCGCAATTAAGGGAAATAATAATAATGAACTAGCCTATTCTATGTATGGACGAGACAGCAGATACCTTTCCAACGTAAGTATTAATACATTAAGTTCTTAGTATATAATATCTATTCTAAACACTGGACGACGTTCTATGTTTACATAATTTAATGTACTAACATATACAGTCTGGTACAAAAAGCATGGATTTTATTTTGGCCACATTTAATAGTAGTGCAAGTTTCAAATGAGTTAAAATATTCTAGAACTGTTTAAGAAAGATGCACAATTAATCTATTTTGAGCGCATTGTGAAGTAATTAAAATTTGAAATTATCTTATAAGAATAAAGGACTCAAGGTAAAATAACTTTTTAAACCTAGTGTGGGAAATGTATAAAATACTAAATTTATTTCCAGTTTCTATTTGTAATTATTTCACAATATGACTTTGATATTCGTCCATCCCATCAATATCAGAGCCTAATAGACGCCTTATGCCTTATTTTATTCAAACAAACAAATGTGTCAAAGCGCTGAGGTGTTACTTAGTTACTTTAAAATAAATAAAAGGCACGACAGAAAATACTGAGAATTTCTATGAAAATTATGTTATAAAAAAAAAATACGTAGTTTATTCAATTATTTTTTAAATGAATTACCTTTGTACACACGCCAGCACATCAAGCTACACGCTGACGTATCTTATTCCGTTGCACTGGAGGCGATTTTCGAACAAAAATATGTAGTCTGATGTGCCGTTGTCCGTACAAATTCTTGGAACTGTGGGCTTCTGATCTGAAGATTTTGTAAGGAATATTGAATACCAAAGGAATGCGGCTCTGGGGAGTGCACCGTGAGTTTCTACAATACGACGTCGTATTGTGTTTATGTGTAAGGGCCCCAAGCCTAACGTGTTGCCAGAAAGTATTCGCCTAACATGTGTCTTATATATGCCATTTGACTATAATAAAATTCTAATTGATAAGGAAAACCAAATGTTAATTTTTAATTTTATTTCGTACGTTATTACTTTTAAAATTAATATTTTCAGGTTCACAAAAAATTTACATTTTGAATTACATCACTTTATTATAGAGGGTCCCCTGTGCGATTCCATCGTGAGTGGATTGTTGTGAGATTAAAAAAAAAAATATCTATAAGTATGTGTAGGAAAGCTCAAAATATTTAATTACGCCATTTTTATACAAATTCTACGATTTTTTTTCCTCCAAATTAAAAACAATGTTAAACGATTTATTAAATGTTACAGACATTCAACATACGCGTGGACACCTTACTTTATTATAATAGAAATTTAAAACATTAATAAATATTGGGGTTTAAAATAATGCACTCTGCATTAAATATCGATACAAAACTAGTGAAATATCTAGAATTTTTGCTGGTACATTGAACACCTTATTAATTGTTATTTACAAAACGAAATAACAGGCTTTTACAATGCCTTATAAATTATATATATATTATATATATCATACGCCCATACTTACTCTATAATAGGAAGAATGTCATCATAATAATGAAGGATATAATAATCAATAATAATTATCCCTTGCATTCTTCTAATTCCTTCCATGAGATTGTTTTGCTCTATGGCAACACATATGTATGTTCGTTTCATGTTTTAAACATTTAAAGCATTTTCCTAGTTACAGTTCAGTGGCATCGTCCAATATTATAAATCTAGCAGGGTGAGAATAAAACGAACGTGTACTTTTGTTCATAATGTCAACTTCGAACAAGAGAGCTTTATACGTTAAATCTAAGACTTGTTATGTATGAACAGGTCACAAAAATATATACTAGGGAAGTAAATGCCAAGATAACATGAACTTTTGGTACCCTATTGGTCCATTTCATTTAATATTATAAATAACGTACAATCACATGCAAATATTATTCGCAAATCTCATTCAATTCAACAATTTGGAAGATATATTTTTTTTTATATCAATTGCTTTGATATACATTGTCAATACATTTTAACTCTTCCAAACGTGGTTCTGTTTAAAGACTTTCGGTTATAAAATTTTATATATACAGACAGCCAAAAGTATTTTTTATTATGCTTTAATGATGTACTGAAATCTGAGTTAATCTCGATTCTTACGAAAAATATAAAATATGACGAATGCCGTCATATTTTGTGCCGAGTCGGGATAAACGTCGCCTCTGGAACCAGTCCGGGGCTGTCCGATTGATTTCAGGAATGTACATTTCACTCTGAACTTTCAAATTAAACGGGTAAAAATCTGGTTACAAAGTTCACCAGCCTATTCAAGGGATCTACGGTATCCGAATGAAATTGTCACTATCTTTCCAATATACCAGTAGTAGATAAGAGAAACATTGAACACCGGGAAAACTTGGAAACATAGAAAATATTTCCGAACACTATTGCAGCGTCCATTTAGCGCATAGTTTGCCCCAGTGGGCGTTGAAGAGTTCTAGGAGGGTAGGAGCCTAGGGAGCAAATGGTCATGCTGTTCTGCGTGAGGGGGTGCTACCGCATTTCAAAAGATCCTGACTGATCTATATAAACTACAGTACATCTCTTATACTTTCGGACTAATTACTGTGAAAAGTGCATAAAATAACTAATTGCAATCAGTTGACGTTACTACTTCACCAATTGATAACGAAGAGTGAATGAGCCGTTTATCAAGTCAATCCTGATTAAACCTGCGTAGAGAGTGTTTCCTTCGACGTCTCCCTTTTCGGTCCTAACTCCGACATACATATAACATAAACGATAGTAATTGACTATATAAAATTTTGTATTTCTTTGTCCAAAATACATGAGTCGACAAGCTATTAACGCCACGACAGCGTCCAGAAATATCCATGATTTCCAGAGTTTTCCGATGTTCAATGTTTGTTAACTACAACTATAGGAATACCTTTAGCTGTCTTTTATAGGCTTGGTTTACTATCCGTGTGCGTCTTATCCGTTAGCGTTAATTCTTAACTACGCGACGAGGCAGGGTTCTAATAGGGTAAGGTTCAATTTGGGGTGTACTTTTAAGAATGATTTCAAATTCTAGCGCAATTTTATACGGTCTGTCATACAAATGTTGAGCAAACTTCAGACCACATTTTTTACTGTTGACACTTGACATCTGTAAGCACATTTGGAAACTTGTAAGGGTCATTTTCCTGTCAAGCTGATATCCGTGTCGCCGAACGCATCTGGTGTGACAATAAGCTTGAAACGCAGTTGGAGCAGACACAGACAGGCATGTGAAGTTTAATCAGCTCCACAAGAAATACACCCCTAAGGCGCACTGTGCTCTAAGGCCAGTATTTTTGAGCAATTTAGAGACAAATGTGGAAGAAAAACCTCACCCAAGACCGTCTGGCAGTTAGATGATGAACTCCTGGCTCGCCGGTGGGCTTAGCTAGCTGAGAGCACTGTACGCCGGAGGGCTGGTCTCTCGCGGCTGGTCGCGGCTGCTGGGAAGCAGGACTGCGATGTGGTACGGCGGAGGAGCCTCGGGGGAAATGGTCGCTTCGGCCTGGCGGTTCGATTGAAGCAGCGTCGTGAGGGATATGTCGTCGGAAGGTTCGGAGGGAGGTGGCTGTAATGAACAGTCAAGGTTCCAAAGTCAAATGGCAACTTTACAGAGACACTATTTGTTGTCGACTGAAAGAATTGTCGTCCATGGTTTTTTTTTTGAAGACGGAGTAAAATGACATTTGCTAGGTTGCCAGTTTTCATAAAGTTTTAAATAATCATGTAGTTGTTATCGATAGATTGTGAAAGAAGGTAACATTTTGCCAAAAAGTCTCAATTGTGAATGTTACTATATACGATCTAATAATTACTGATTGCGTTATTGCCTTCTATATTTCTATTTTGGCTGTTGACCTACTAAAAAATTTACATTTCAAATGAGACTGTGCTCAGTAATTGGACGAATGATAATTTGTCGGCTTTTTATTGCATAAGCATAACCAACATTCAGTCGATAGTCGATAGAATATTTATCGACTGCAAGCACTAGCTGCTTGCAAGCGAGCAGCACTTGTGCAATGAACTGTCATTTTTCTCCATCTTCAAAACAGACCGCCTATTCATTCGTCTCATCGAGTATATAACCAGAAATAGAGACGAAATAAGACCATATATTTCTGGTAACACATTAGCGATACAGCTCTTATAAATATCAACTCCCGTTTGCACTGAAATATAGACAGGCCAACTACTGACCTGTGTGTACGTCTCCATATATTCCAAAAAGTATTCTGTATTTATTGTAATAGAGATAATATATCTAACAATGCCGTGCTGTTCTATTCGGTGGTGTGGGAAAAACAGCAAAACATCTAATTACTAAACAAACGGAATCACATTTCATCGGTAATTAAATATTAAATATGTAATTTTGCAATTTTCGTCCATTATAGCAAAGCTCAAGTTATCTGGTCGATTTGAAGTGAAACAGTTGACGACACCCGTCAATTGTTTCGAACTCGGGCTAGCCAATCGGAGCGCAGTTGTCACAGTAATAAATAAATAAATAAATAAATAAATAAATAACGCACACACTCAACATATCCCCGCACTAGGGAAACCCTGTGTCGCGGGTACCATGGACGCACGCATAGACAACCACAAATTACACCCAAACTCACGAGAGAAATAATTGTAGGCCATACAACTATTTCTCTCGGCCCGGGAATCGAACCTGGGACCTCTGCGTGGCAGTCCGGCGTGGTAACCGTTCGGCCACGGAGGCAGTTAAATCATATGGCAGAATAGTTTTCAAACAAATTAAATGACATTTCGTCTCTATTTTTGGTTATATACTCGATGATTCGTCTATATTAAGACACAAATGGCTATGTACGATAACTCACAGGTCTATCCCTTTGTGCAGTGGAAGAAACGCGGTCGGGCGTCTGCAGCGGCGGCGACTTGGCGCGGCACATGGACAGCGCGCAGCCCACGCCGCACACGCACGCCACTGCTGCGCACACCACCGTCGCTTCTGTGCCAGAAGCGTTGTCGCGCACCACCTGACCAATTTCAAGACAAGGCTTTTTATTAAAAGGAGAGAAGTGCACATTTCAGCTCCATCTAACCTGATGGAAAGTGACAAAGGAGGTCTACGATGGATCATGCACGCCTGTATAATGCCAATTCACTCTTGTCTTCAAAAGGCCTAAGTTACAACGTTCAGGGAACCAATCTGCGAGTAGGGAATCCCACTCCATTGTTATTTTAAGATAATTTTGTATATTATTATTTCAATTGTAGATAAATAAAGTTCTTTATTATTATTATTATTATTATTATTATTATTATTATTATTATTATTATTATAAATGTGGAAATGTAACGGTTCGTGCTAATTTTGGGGATATCTACAACAGGAGTGGAAACCCTAGCCTACGTCCAGTCCCCCGATGATAGAAAAGGGAGTGATTTCAGCACGCAGTCTCCTCGGAACTCCCTATCTCTCGGGTCGGTAGATAGCGACATACCAGTGGTGACTAATGGAATTTAAAAAATCCTAGCAGTTGCCAGGTGGTGACAAATAGGATAAACAATTCCAATTGATGCTAGTGTTTATTTATTGCCGCCATCGAATACTAAGCTACAAATAATCATTTCAAAAAACATTATAATACATTTACGATCATTTCATTATAAAACTGAACTATATTAAAAAATATTAAGCCAGCTTAAAAATACTAGAAAAATACTAAATAAATCAACTTTTGTCAATTAGCAACACTATAACCGTTGTTTCAATTTTTTCATATTTATTTTAAAAAACGCGTTCACACTATCTGGGGCCATACTATGAACTCTTATTACAGTTCAGTATAGGTTCGTAACGACAAAGAAGCGGGATGGTGATATACACTTCAAGTAGCGCTGTCTCACAACGATTTATTTTAGGTCTTAAACTGAATCGTAATAAGAGTTCATGGTAGGGCCCCTGATTAAAATCATAATAAATGGTGGGATTACAATTGTGATTTTAAATTATTGTATGTACTGTATAAAATCACTATTTTAAATATAATTATTGAACTCGAATTTTATTTTATTCCCCTTCGATGGCGGCAATAAACAAACACAAACCCGGAAAATAAATCGTCGACAGCTAAAGAGGGTAACCAGATGCGTCTATTCTTAAACTGTCAATGGCCAGTCAACCCGCGACCATAATACAGTAAAAACCTGGAAAAACATGCCATGATAAGAAATTTCGACTAAAACGGCAAGAAAACTGTTTAAACCCAATAGAAAAATCTGTAACAAACACATAGAGAAATTCGTAAAATCTGCTGACTCAGTTGGTAAGAGCGGTGGTTCCGACATGGCGACAGAGGCTGGTTCGAGTCAGTCAGATTGCAGGAATTTTTCTTTGTGTTCTCCGACCTTTGTATTAATAGTATATAAACTGACCTGCATAAATAAACTAACCTGTCGGTCAAAATAGTACTTAGCACCAGCCAGAAACAGTGTGGCAAGTGCAAAAGATACCAACATCCCAAACTTCAAATGCGGGGCCATCATTGGCGAGTGATGGAGGCCCAACGCCGCCGTCCGCAGCAGGGTGTCAGGTGTAACGCTACGGGCAGCTGCCAGGGAAGCGATCGTCGGCTGTGGAGGCTCCAAGGGGATCTCCACGTAAAGACTTGACTCGTCATTTTGACGCCGAGATGTGTGCACGGCCGGCGTCGGTGGTTGGCTGTTATGGAAAATATTCGACATTAAAACTATAGTCAAATAGAGACTTTATAGTAAAGGTTGTTATACGCCGAGAAACGAAGTGTCGGTAGAAGGCGGTACTCCTGGTTAAAGAATTTGAGGGAATGATTCGGCTGCAGTACCGCCTCTAAAGTCAGGATTGCCATAATGTTGTCCAACCTCTGATAAGAGACGAACCGCAAGAAGAGCAAAGGTTATAATGAAACTTCTGCATAATTCTAAGGCGAATATTCGTGGTAGTGATCCTAAGTGGATCTCACGGGTTGTTTATATCTATGATATTTGAAATAAATGATAAAAGTCTATTTACAAAGAGCAATCCCTAGTATTTCATACCCATTCTTCTCAGAGGTATCTGCCTTACGAATGAATAGTATTGTTTAATCAATATGACGATTTCAAGAGTAATTTGCTTACCAATGAAATCAAGATATTTTTGAATATGCATTGTTGAAATAGAAGTTTAGTGTAGAAACTTCGAATGTGGCTTTATCACTGCAAAAATGTGGCTTTTAATATAATGATGAGGAAAAACCTATGATAACGAACATGGTTTGACAAATTTAATTGTAAACAAACGCAGCCTCTATTTGCAACGGCCCGAGTGAGGGGCAGTAATTCCCCATTTGCTATCGAAATATTTATGCAGTGATGAGATAAAGTTGTAAGTTATATTTATACACATCATCCAGCAATTTGAGCTATAAAACTATAAAAGATGTTAGTTTTTGTGGACTTGATAGAAAAGGCTGAAGTGTCACCCGTTGTGGCGGTGGCGGTGGTGGCGGCGCGGCGGGCACTCGAGGGGCGCGAACCGATGCAGCGGCGCCGCCATGCCCTTGCGGCCCGCCACGCCCGGCCCCGGCCCCACGCCCTCGCAGACGCGCCCGCGCGCCCGCCCCACGCCTGTGCACACGTGCCCTAAACGTTCTCATCTCTCCCATTATCTTTACACTTAAACCAATCGACATTAAAAAGTTAAAAATGTCTCCTCTATACTCACATGGTAACATGAAATACAGTTTACTATGTAATGACTGTGACTACTTCTTTATGTAATTCTATGCGGAAACCATAGAAAAAACATTTTTTAACTTTAGATCTACGTTTTCATTTGGCCCCAAACCTTGGATTCAATGTTCTTGATATGATTTATGGTTCAGTTTCAGAGATGTATCGAACACATTAAGCAGTGTTCAAGCACGCAAAGTGAAATCCACATGGCACATACAAATATTGATGTTGCAAGTATGTTTTTCTTTGTACTCGGGTTTTACCTACCGCAGGTAGTAGAATGGATAAATGTACAAATTATAACCTATGTTGGGTATTTATTACTGCATATGCCGATGCAGCCCATGAGGGCTAATAGCAACTTATAATTTTTTCATTCCATGACTAAACTTCAACCAACTGATCATGGTCAGCAATTTCCCAAGCCAAATGCCAATCTGCGTTGGAAGAAAAACATTCTTGCATAAGTAAGGGTGGTTTTCTTTGTACCTAGGTCGTATTGATCACAGATGATTGTGCAAACAAGGGCACACGCTGTTGTTGCACATACCCCTCTCATTGACTATGTTGTTTAAACCTAACTTGATCATATTTTTTTCCTTCGAGGTAGGACTTGTGCAAATTTATTATTGTTTAAAAAATAAAAGACATGTTAATGGTAGTTACAAACAGTTTACTAAATAAAAAAAAATTTTAAAGATCTAATCATGTGTGGTCTGGTGGGCTGGCATCATTTTTCAAAACTTTTTGTCACATGCGTCCTGTTTTGTCAAGGCAGTTTAAATATTGTGTGGACAGTCGGACACACAGCTGAAAGCCGGACGGGACTTATGGCCAAGTTATATACACCTCTCTTACATACTATGGAGTGGTATAGTATAGAATTGAAATTTGGAATTATTTCCTTACCATTACCAATTGTTTAATAGATACTTGGAAAACAACTGCAGACATATTACAATGTTCTGCAATTCTAATGTAATAATTTCCCAAGCAACATTATTCATTTCTTTCAATGTGCATTAGGCCGTTGCGAAGTATGATAACATGATACCCTGTTTTCAGAGAAAACCCATACTCAGTCAACTAAGATCACAGTGAAGTTGTAATAACTTTGTAGGTCATTGTACTCAGATTGGGGAGTTTAGGCAAGGGTCAATTGTCACGGACACTTACCAGAAGATAAAGAAGATGGCACACGGTGGCGGCCGGTGTAGGCGCACTGGCTGCGCTTATCGATCCAGAAATGCATCGGAGCGCTTCACACGACTCCGGGTCGACTCACTGCACTCACTTCTTGTCGACACTCACGCACTCATTCCACTCACGATTTGCACGAGAGCCATTCTGTAGACGACTCTATAGACATGGGACATTATTGATATTGCAAGTTACTTTAGGAGGATCATAATGACATATTGAATACATAAAGATTCAAGGTGGATTTGAGAGCTAGATATTTGGATAGGCGCAAAAATCAAGAGGGCTCTCCCTGTTCATAATATGTAAGTACAGCAGCACATATAGTACCAAAAAATCATTTCTAACTTCATGCTATTGTTATTAGTAAATAAATAAGTTTGGTATTAGAACGCAAAGACGCTTCCAAACATAGATTCAAAATAAAAATAATTAAAATAATGTTATACCTGTACACTTCGTTGTTACAACAATGCTAGCAATACAAGTTTTTATAACATCAATATTCACATAAGTGGGATGCCGTTCAATGGTTCTGCAATAAATACAGGCTAAAATAGGTAAATAATTAAAATTTTCCTACAAACGGCCACCATTTTTCACAGAACTTTCCTTTTGACAGCCATTTGTGGGCGGGTTCAAGGCGGGGCTTCCGTCTCTGTGCGCATTGCGCGGGAAATCACGAATGAAAATCCCAATACTACCAACATCATTAACCAACTAAAAATCGATACATCTTACTTTGGTAATGTGTACTTCTACTTGTTGACAGTAATTAACCTTTAATAAATAGCATGACTATTTATTAATCTTGCGCTTTGTTTCTGATGGTTTTTGCTTTTACGGAAATTGTGAGAAATACTTATGGAACCTGGCATCAATGCCGGCGATTTAGTACCTTGGCGAGATCTTTTTAGACTTGGTATAAATCAAATATTGCATTACTTTATTGTAAATAATTACGTTTGTAAATCTTGGTGAGTATTATTGCATAAACATATACATTTTGTGTTTGAGCATTATTCATCTCATCTCGTCTATAGCTGTTCTACATACCTATTTTACATACATTAATGCCCGTTGCTGGTAAAAGAAAACATTATTTCACCAAGTTATATTAGTATGCATTCTAAAACATTAAAACATTACAAGACATTAAAAGTTGTAGTTTAAAAAAAGGTTTTGTCAATAATTTTCATTACATATTCCCAAATAGCGTGATGTTGTGTCCGGTTGTTTCTTTCAATAAAATAATATATTTATTAGATATAAATTTAATTCCTTATCTAAAAATAAAAGTTATTTGTTATAAGTCTAATTGAACGTGTATTGCTCCCGAATACATTCTTCTTCTTTTAACTTATTGACGGTGCCCTTTCGTGATTTCGCATTAGCGGGTTTGCTATCATAGTTTTAAAAATTCCCGCTGTTTCGTAGAAAGACCTAGACGTTTCCGGAAAATTCTGCACATGTCATCTGCAGTTCCGTTTAGAAATCAAAAAAACGAAAAAAATCTAATATAGTTGCTCTAAAATACAAATTTAAAAATTAAAAATTAACCACGTATGGTATAAACTCAAGCATTTTATAATATCAACGTTTATGTAAGTTTGCACTAATAAAAACGACAGAATATTTAATTTCACTGATTTATCTGAAAGAATTGTTTTTGAACGAAACGGAATTTGTAGTTCTTGTAGTCGTTTAAATTATAGCTTCGTATAATTGGTTAAGACACCACCGCTGTACACCTACATCATCATCTCGATCAATATTCTGTAAAGTGGTGCTGTAGTAAAGGAACTTACAGTGTGCCACCGCAATAGTCTTGTGAAACGCGGGTTGAAAAAGGTATAAAAACCCAGCCCCACTGTTGCCAACGTAGTAATTCTGATTCAACTGTAGTTTGTGTGTGACGTGTTTATTTTCTGAGACTCGTTACTTTTTGCGTGTTGTTCTTTTTTCCTATGTATGTGCTATGATAATACCTCTTGAAACATTACCTCTCAGGATGCGGACGAACGGTAGATTCGCCAAACCTTACTGCCAATGTTGGAACAGGCATGCTCCACTGTCATGGACTCAGATCGAATCGCGTTGTTCCTGCGGAGAAGAAAGTGATGGTTTGTATTGTTCTAGATAATTTTTGTCGCGTCCTTCCACTTGCGTGTGTACTTTAGTATATCTTTTATATTTAAACGTTTCATGATTGTTAGGTTGGGTTCGTAACACGTTAAACTCAACAGCTGTTCTAATTGTTAGTTTCCTCCTTGTTTTTGTTGAGACGAAATATTTATAGTTAGTTTTATATATTTGATTTACAGACGTGAATTGTGTTAGTTTATAGTTAGGTGAATAAACTATTATTCGTTATAAACGAGGTGGGTTCCTAATCTACTCCATATGTTGTAATTTATGATAAATTTAATATATTAAACAATAATTGTGTTTAGCACTTAAATTTTGGTACGAAATATGTGTGAGGATAAGAGCCTCAAACGACTTTAATTAAAAAATATTATTCTAGGAGGGCGTCGATTTTTCCTTGATGTCATTTGCAGTAGATTTCAAAATTTGTAATGTTGCTGTAGTGCAAAAAAGTTGCTTGTTTCTCTATTGTTAATTCTTAAATTTCCACGTACCAAATGTAAGTGTAGAAGGGGTATAAAATTGAAATTTCTATTGTCATTGCAGCACAGGAATGGAACTGGGAGCAACCGGTCTCCACAGGCCCTGGCTGGGTTGTGGTTAGTGAGAACAAGAAGCAGGTCACATTCCATCCATACTACAGTTCTGGTACCGCAGCAGTCAGAGGAGACACTGCATTATTGCATGATCATCATTATTACTGGGAGATCAAGATGCTAACGGAGACTTATGGCACAGATATTGTGAGTATTTTGTTTAATAATATATTCTTCTTTGCTGTGTTCTTCATAGGTTTTTTGTATTCTTCATTGTTGTGAACTTCTGAAAACCTTCCTTATATCACTGTATTGTCTGTGGGTATGGCAGTGGTAAGGTAAACTTGTGAAGGGTTTCCTCTGATTGAGCCAGTGTGTATAACCATCTGTGCTTTCTAAATAAACAGGGGGGTTTTGTTTGTGAGGTCATGTGATATTTAAATTAATTTTAATAATTATTGTTTTATTTCATTGACTTACAATTATATGGACGTCGGGTCCGCGCTAAAAAGT